GTGTACTTCTTAGAGTGAGGGGCCCAAAACTGATCCCAGGACTTGAGGTGCAGCCTTCCCAGTGCTTTGTGTCCAAGCTTTCCTGGAAACACGTTGTATTGCTTCCATTGCAGCCCACACTGGAGATTAACCACCACGCTGGGAAATCCCTGGACAGCTTCTGCAAGTGGCAGAAGTCCATTGTGAACAGGAATGGCAACGGGAACGCCATCCCCGAGAACGGCATCGCCAACCACGACACTGCCGTGCTGATCACCAGGTAGGGCTGAGCTCTGTCCTCGCTGGGGTGTCCTCTGTGCAGCCCTCCACCTCTGTCCAAGGGGTTCATCCAAGGCTTCCTTCCCATGTGCTTCCCCAGAAGCTGCCTGGCTGTGGCTGTCCTTCATGCTGGTCACTCGCCACGTCCCTTGCAGCCATGCAGATTATTGCAGTTCAGATACTTCTTATCCTCAGGTGTCTTCCCCCCTATCCTAGTTGTGCTCTCGAGGAGATTAGTTTGCCCCCATGTGTATTTGTGCACCTCGGGGCTAAGGAGCAACCCCCAAACCAGCTCTGGGATGTCCCAGCAGCAGTTGTAACTGCAAAGGGCATGGAGGCACCTGGGGCACTGGCTCTTCAGTGCTGCCTCTGTGGGTAGGGAGAAGCCAAAGGCAAACCCAGGGTTTGTTTGTACCTTTTTTTCCACCTTTTGTGGAGCGGGAGAAAGGACCCTCCAAGTGGGAGCCGGTTTCCTTGGTGCCATACATTGCTCCCCTGCTTCGGTGGTGGCCAGAGCCCGGCACATCCCTTGTGAGATGAGACTCCCCACAAACACCCAGGGCAGGAGGGAGCACAGTGCCCCTTGGCCTCAGCTTTTCACCCTCCCGGGGCTGCAGTGTCCACTGTTCCTCCCCTCCCACCACACGTGTGGGATGCAAACGCCGACGCCGAGTTCTTGGGCCTCCCAGCAGATGTTTGAGCTGACCCGCAGCGACTCGCTGGCCACGGCTTGGACAGCACCAGCACATCCGCCCCGCTCCAATAAATTCCCCGTCTCCTGATAACATCTTGCTGAGCTTGGGGCTTTTCTCTCTTGCAGGGATGTGTCAGAGCAGAGCCTCCCAAGGCTTTAACGGTATTCGCTCAAAACAAAGCAACAAATGTTTTTCACTCGCTCGGTTTCCTGCCGGGGGGGGGAGAGGTTTGGACACTTCCAGAGAGCACCAGGGGCCAAAGGGACAGGAGCCATCACCACAAACACGTTCCACTTAACCCCTCATGTGCTATCTGCTCATGTCCTCCCCACTCTTGTCCCCTTGGGGCCACCTGAGCAAGTGGTGTCAGGCATCTCCCAACCCACAGCCCAGCTGGTATCCTCGGTCCTCCAAGCCTCAAGGCACTGGGGGCACCTTGCAGCCATGCAGATGATTGCAGTTCAGCTAATTCTCATCCCCCAGCGTCTTCTCTCCATCTTTGTTGTGCTCTCAAGGAGCTTAATTTCCACCCAGGGGTATTTGTGCACCTTGGGACTAAGCATCAACCCCCAAAGCAGCTCTGGGGTGTGCCAGCGGAGGCTGCTGCTGGTGCCACCACCTGCCCACCCTGCCTGGATTTTGGGGTTAGCCTCTCCTCCTGTGGAGGAGGTTTTGCTCTGCTGTCCTTGTTTAGCTTTTCCTTGTAGGCAGCTAACGATGTGCAAACAGTCAAATCCTTGATGCAACAGCTGGAAGTCAAGGCCAGGAACAGAGGGAAGAGTCATCTTGAATCAACCCATATTGAATTGGTTTGGAAAATTCTCAGTAAAGAACTAAACTGAAAAATAAAAATAAAAAAAATCACTCCAGCAGTTTAATGAAACCACGGTGGGGTTTGAAATGGAATGTGTTTTCAAATTGAAATGTTTTCCTTGTTTAGTTTGTTTTTTTTTAAAAAATAAAACAGTTACATATTTGATTGACAGGATTTGCTGCAAGGGACCTGAGTTCACAGGCAGGAGACTGGTCCTGTCCTCTTCTGCTTTCCAGAAGTGCTGCATGAGCCCTGGGCTGGTTTGGAGTGTTTTGGGTGGTGGGCACACCAGTAAAATGGAGATGTGCTATTTTGGAGCCCCCAAAGCTAGAACTTAATGCTGCCTTCTCCTCTTTGCAGATACGACATTTGCATCTACAAGAACAAACCCTGTGGCACCCTGGGTAGGTAGGAATTTGCTTCAGCACAAATGTTTTGCCATCCCCTTTCCTTGGGAGCAGGCTGAGGGGAAGTGCTGGCCCAACACCACCACGAGCAGAGCCAGGAACAGGCCAGTGGTTTCCAGCCCACTCGACTGTGTAGCCTCCTTACTTCTGTAAACACTGAAAGCAGCAACTTTGAGGATGGATGGGCTCTGGAACGCTTCTCTGCTCCATCCCTGGGTCAGGTCCAGCCTGATGATTAAGAACCACTCGCATCTAGAGCTGGTCTATAGCCTAGTGGAGTATTCCTGGCTTAGCAGAGAGAAATAAGACTTTTTTTGTGATGACTATAAAGGGAGTTCTTTATTTAAACTGCTAGACACAGACAGACCCTGCAGCTCGCTCTGGCTGTAGCTCCTAATTTGTCTTGCCCTGGTCTAGACTAAGCAGTCAGGGAGGGATTACTGCTCTGAATCACTGCAGTTAAAAAGGAAAAGTTGGTGGATCCTTGACCTGATGCAGCTGCAGATGAGGTGCCTGGGAGGGAGGTTGAGGCTGGAGGTGCCCTGACAGCTCCACTCCTTCCTTTAACAGTGCCTGGTCCTTCAGCGCCTGCAGTGGTGGGACAGTGAATGGGCAGAGGGTTGGGGCAATCTGCTGCCACGACTCAGGGAGGATTTCTGCAGGATCCAGCCCTCCAGATGGAGTCAGGCTGGACTCCTGATCATGGTGGGTGTCAGCCAGAACCAAGCGTGGATGGTCAGGTTGGATCCTGGCTGCCCTGGCCAAGTTCAGATGCCCAAGTGCTGGTGCAGCTGGTCTCAGGTTCCCCCACCAGCAGTGCCAGTGTTGTGACAAGGATTGCTCCCCCTCTGCATGCAGCCTAGGGTTTGGATATGGAATCCAGAGGACTTTGACCCATTTTTAGCATTTCCAAGCCTGTCATTGTTAATTTAGTTGACAGTGCTGAGTGACCACAGCCCATGAGAGCCATGCGTCCATCCCAAAGCCCCCTGCAGCTGCTGGGAGGAAGCCAGCAGGCTGAGCTCAGTTTCAGTGAGTGTGAGGAACGTCAGGTAGTTCCCAAACACCACCCACATCCCCCCCAGATGCTTTGTGCTGGCCCTACGTGACAGCTCTGTCTGGCTCCCCTAGGCCTGGCCCCCGTGGGTGGGATGTGTGAGCGAGAGCGAAGCTGCAGCATCAACGAGGACATTGGCCTGGCCACAGCCTTCACCATTGCCCACGAGATTGGCCACACGTGAGTACCCTGCCAGAAGAGTCCCTGGGAGTGACCACCCCAGGGAAGGTCCCTGTTGGCTTGTTCCTGCCACGGGAGCTGAGAAATCCTCAGTTCCAGAAGGACAGGGAACTGCTGGAGAGAGTCCAGCGTAGGGCTACAAAGATGATGAGGGGAGTGGAGCATCTCCCTTCTGAGGAAAGGCTGAGGGAGCTGGGTCTCTTTAGCCTGGAGAAAAGGAGACTGAGGGGTGATCTCATCAATGTTTACAAATATGTAAGGGGTGAGTGTCAGGAAGATGGAATTAAGCTTTTTTCAGTGATGACCTGTGATAGGACAAGGGGTAATGGGTGCAAATTGGAGCATAGGAGGTTCAAGGTGAATATCAGGAAAAATTTTTTTCCTGTGAGGGTGCCAGAGCACTGGAACAGGCTGCCCAGAGAGGTTGTGGAGTCTCCTGCACTGGAGACATCCCAAACCCGCCTGGATACCTTCCTGTGTGATGTACTCTGGGTGACCCTGCTCTGGCAGGGGGGCTGGACTGGATGATCTTTCGAGGTCCCTTCCAACCCCTATGATTCTATGATTCTATGATCCTTCCTGTGGGTGATCCAGATGTGTCAGAAATGCAGCAGCTGATCTTCTCTCCGTTGCCTTGGTGATGTTCTCTAGGTTTGGCATGAACCACGATGGGGTCGGCAACAGTTGTGGCTCCCGTGGGCAAGAAACGGCCAAGCTGATGGCTGCCCACATCACCATGAAGACCAACCCCTTTGTGTGGTCCACGTGCAGCAGGGATTACATCACCAGCTTCCTGGAGTAAGGAATCCATCTCACCTTGCCCTTCCTTCTACCTCACCACCAGTACACGCCTCCAGCCTCTCGCAGTCACTTGTGAGGAGTGGGTAAAGCCAAAGAAAAGCCCCCAAAGCACACATCACATGCACCTTCTGTCTTGTCTCCCAGCAACTTATCCTATCCTAAGAGGCACGTGCTTTCCCTCCTTCCTTTAGACTTTCCCATGGCTTCCTTGCCTGCTGGAGACACTAACCCCATTTACCTTGCAGCTGTGAGACCTTTATTTGGCCTCCTCACTTCCAGAAACTTCACCAAAAAAAATCAGTAGCTTCCAGAGGCATTTGGATGGTCCCAAAGTTCAGTCAGGAACTGCAGAGCAGTGTCGGTGTGGTGGGGAAGGGGGATCTGGAGACAGGGCTGGTGTCCAGGCAGCTCCTCTAGACACTGAGGAGAGTTTTCAGGTGGAAGCAAGCAATGCAGGAGAAAGGTTTGTTTGGGTTTTATTCCCCCCAAAGCACCTTTAGGATTTAGGAGAACGGATTTAGGCTCCTAAGTCCCAGAGTTTTGATGATATCATAGTGCTTAAGTCATGCCCCTGCAGCCAGAAACAGCTTCTCATCCAGGTTCAGGCAGTGCCCAGGGTTTCCATCCCAAACCAAGCAGTCAGGATCCATTTTGGTGAGGTTTTGGGTAAGATATGGGCACTACCTAGTAGAAGGACAGGGTATGACTTGAGTCACGACTGGAAGAGGCAAATGTGTGGGGTCACTGTGGAGGGAAGCCCTTGGGAATCTGGATGCCAGCCCTCCACTGGTGCCTCTGCTGTCATCACTTGTCCTCTTGGCTGCAAGAGGAGCAGCCAAGACAACCTACCCCAAGGGGCTGCCACCCCACAGACCTGGGCCAAGCCCATCACCAAATCCCACATGGTGCCTCACATTGGACCCCAGCAAAGCCCGTCCCCCCTCGCCCCTGACCCCTGTCGAGCTCTTGGCCGGGGCTGGTGGGGGGTGGCAAGCTCATGGGGGTGAATTCATGGTGGCCCTTCCCATGGCTCGTGCTGCCCAACCCCCCCTGGATGCAGCCCCAGGAGCCTCTGCCAGGATTCGGGGCCGTGAGATGTGCAGGACACCCAGGATTTGGGGCTTTGGTGACGGGGGCCTTGATTTAGGGGGAGCTCAGAGAGCAGCAAGGAAGGGGAAGGGAAAGGCAAAATTTGGACACTCCCACAAAGCTCTGGCAGCAGAAGGGTGGGCTTGGAGTGCAGGGGCTCTCCACGCTCAGCATCTCTGGCTGCTCTGCAGCTGTGGGGTGGGAGGGCAGCCCCTCTGTTTGCCCACCACCCACGCAAGGGTCCTTGCCACGGGCTGTCTGCTACTTGGAGTGCAGAGGCTCTCCACGCTCAGCATCCCTGGCTGCTCTGCAGCCATGGCGTGGGAGGGCAGCCCCTCTGCTTGCCCACCACCCACACAAGGGTCCTTGCCACGGGCTGTCTGCTGGCCCTGGTACAACCTGGGGTTGGTGACAGCCTGAAACACACCTCAGCTTACAACTTCTGGAGCTACTTAGGAAAAAAACACCTCAGCTTAAAACTTCTGGAGCTACTTAGGAAGAGCCATGTGCTTCCCAGCCCTGCAGGCCCAGCTAGAAAGCCTGCAGAGGACTTTCTCAGCAGTGGTTTTTGCCCAGAGGGGGCTGGTGAGTTATCCCAGCCCCGTGCAGGACCAGGAGTGGCTGCTGCTGGCCCTCCACCACAACGCTCTCCTGCAGGTCTTCCTGAGCTCTGATTCTCATCTCTTGTTTCCAGCTCCGGGATGGGATTATGCCTGAACAATGCTCCTCCCAAGCAGGACTTTATCTACCCCACGGTGGCTCCAGGACAGGCCTACGATGCCGACGAGCAGTGCCGCTTCCAGTACGGAGTTAAATCTCGCCAGTGTAAATATGGGGTAGAGAGCCTTCCTGCTTTACTATCGGTTCCAGGGGGTGGAGGATGGGGGCTGCAAGGCCAAAGGGTCACGGGGCAGTTCCTCTGCTGCCCACATGGCTTTGCTGCCCTGCTTCCAGGGAGGGACGCTGGCACCTTCCCCGTGAGCGTTTCGCCTTGCTGCCCTGTGAGAGGCCAGAGGAGGTTGTGCCCTGTCCACAAAGGTCGACCCCCAGCTCAGTTCTGGTCAGGTTGGTCCCATGGGAAGAGGTTTCTTGCCTCTGCCTGATGCCTTGGCTGCTGCTGGTCCCCAAGGGTTGCAGCTGGAAGCCAGGCTGCAGTCCCCTCATCCAGATTCGCCTCTCAGCAGGGCTCTGTACACAGAAATGGTTTTCATGATCCTTAGGAGAAGTCATTATGCTGCTTGCACAAGCTCAGGAGGAGAAAGGTCCTTCTTCCAGGTGAGGTGGGTCAGTGAGTGGTCAGAGAAACTGTAGGTTTCTCTAAGGGAGAGCTGCCCACCTAAGCACCCCGGCCACCACACTGCCAGCCCCTGACCTCTGAATCCAGGAAACCACTGAAAGGAAAGGTTCTTTCAAGAGGAAAGTCTCTTCCTGGATTTTGCTACTTATTTTGATCTATGATCCTGACATTTTGCTGTTCTTCACGGACTGGGTGTTGCCAGGTCTCTGAGGGGAAACATCTGCTCTGAAGGGCTAATTGAGCTCCTTAATGCAGCCACTTCCCTCTAGAGAAGAGAGAGGGCCCAGCAGTGAGACACACGTCTGATGGACACACACGTGTGTGTCCTGATGCCAGTACAAGACCTGAAAGCTGTGAAGGAGGAAACATCAGATCAGGGTCTAGTTTCTCATGCAACCATGTAAATATAAGCCCAATGCTGCAACACTGCCAACAGTGCCCAGGTGGCCAAGAAGGCCACCAGCATCCTGGCTTGGAGCAGCACTGGTGTGGCCAGCAGGACTAGGGCAGGGATTGTCCCCCTGGACTCAGCACTGGGGAGGCTGCACCTCAAGTCCTGGGGTCAGTTTTGGGCCCCTCACTCCAGGAAGGACCTTGAGGGGCTGGAGCGTGGCCAGAGAAGGGCAACGAAGCTGCTGGGGAAGGGTCTAGAGCCCAAGTGTGGAGAGGAGCAGCTGAGGGAGCTGGGGGTGCTGAGCCTGGAGCAAAGGAGGCTCAGGGGAGACCTTCGGGCTCTGCACAGCTCCTGACAGGCGCCTGGAGCCAGGGGGGGGTCGGGCTCTGCTCCCAAGGAACAAGGGACAGGACAAGAGGAAACAGCCTCAAGTTGCCCCAGGGGAGGTTGAGGTTGGCCCTGAGGAACAATTTCTTGCCCTGGAGGGTTGCCCAGGGCTGTGCCAGGCTGCCCAGGGCAGTGGTGGAGTCCCCACCCCTGGAGGGGTTTCCAAGCCGTGGAGATGTGGGGTGAGGGACACGGGGCAGTGGGGACCTGGCAGTGCTGGGGGTGGACTCCATGCTCTTACAGGTCTCTTCCAACCAAAACAATTCCATGATTCTCTGATTGAAGTGACCCGATATGAACCAGTTTATGACTCTGTGTTCATCTATTTATTATGGTTAAACACTAAACCATCTCCTAGTGGTCTCACAGGTCATCCTGGTGAGCAAAGAGCAAAGTTTGACTCTCCTTGGTCCAGTTGTTTCTTTCAGCATGGCCTGGGGGAGCAGAACCTGATGGACACGGGGCAGATAGGGCTTCCTGAGGTGCCCAAAGCAGCAAAGCCTGGCTCTGACTGACAGGGTGGTGGGATCTGCTGCCAGGTTGTGGTCTCTGCCCCTCCTGGGCTGAGCCAGAGGCAGTGGGGTGGAAAGCTGCCACGTTTACATGCCTGTTTCCAGCTGATTTTTAACTCGGACAGACACTTCTTGTGTACATACAGGGATCACAACAGCACAAGATGTCCCTGTCATGACCTTTCTGGCCCAGCCTGTCCTGCGTGCTGTTTGGGAGAAACCCAAACCACATAAGGGCTTGAGATAAATTATCAAGCAGATAAATCTGGGTGATGGTGTAAGCCCACCCAGCCTGTGCCCCATGTCAGCAAAGTCCAGGGTGGTGGCACAAACACAGCAGCATCTGTGCTAGCACAGAGCAGGTCATTAATTAATGTTTAGAATGAGCACAGAGTGAACAGAGGTCACTGCCTGAAGCTGGGAAGTCCTCTCATAGAATTGTTCTTGTTGGAAGAGACCTTCGAGGTCATCAAGTCCAATCATTAACCCAGCACAACCAGGTCACTACTAAACCATGTCCCTAAGACCTTGTTTCCCTCCTTAGTGACACAGGAGCTTCTATTTCACAGAATCCCAGCAGGGTGGGGCTGGCAGGGACCTCTGGAGATCATCTCCTCCAACCCCCTGCTCCAGCAGCTCCCCCACAGCAGGGTGCCCAGGGTCACAGCCAGGAGGGTTTGGGATCTCTCCAGAGCAGGAGACTCCACAGCCTCTCTGGGCAGCTGCTCCAGGCTCGGCCACCCTCACCCCAAAGAAGTTTCTCCTCCTGCTCAGGTGGCACCTCCTGGGTTCCAGTTGGTGCCCGTTGCCCCTTGTCCTGTCTCTGGGCACCACTGACAGAGTCTGGCCCCAGCCTTGTTCCCAGTAGTCATGCTCTCAGTGAGGAGGGGTAGGCACCTTCTGAAGACAGGAGAGACATTCTCCTTTCCCTGGTTCAAGCCAACTGCAGCTGGGCTTTGGCAGAAGAGTTGGGACCCCCTGCTCTGGAGTTCCCCTGCCCTGCAGCACTCACCATCACACACCCAGGGGTGTGAGGGACAAGCTGCTGCCTGGCTGGAGGTAGGGACCTGCTGGAGCTGTGGTGTGGGTCACACTGCCACAGGGCCACCACGGTGGGTCCTTCAGCCTGGGCTCTGCTCTCACACCTCAAGACAGTTTCCCTCATGGGTGATGTGTTTAGGCCTTTCAAGTAGAGCCCAAGTCACGACGAGCTGCTCTCTGCAAAGCAGTGAGTTTTCCACAGGCTTGTTCATGAAGGAGCTTCTTTGTGAGGGAGTAGGAAGACGAGGAGGATGGTCACCCAGCAGGAAACTCCTCTCTGGAGTTTAGGTGTTGCTTTGCAGTTTGTAGGTGTTGAAATCCAGCCTGGTTGGTTCAGTGGCAGAGCAGGTTCAAAGAGTCTGGACTTGTTGATTTAGAAGCTCTGACAACTCTGTAGAGTCTCTGTCATGGACCTAACTTTTGGGTGGGTTCTGGAACAGCCAAGGGAAGGGTTTTGTTGCTGATGCTCTGAGAGGTCAGGATGGGCTGGAGCTCAGGAAACCTCCTGGAAAGAGGTCTGGAATCCTCAGCTCAGCATCCCTTAGTGGATCCAACTGCACCTAGCAGAGGCAGAGAGCAGAGGACCCACTCCTGGACCTGCTGAAGGGCTAGCTCAGTGGCTGGCATTATTTGGTTATGCTGAAAATGGCTTTCAGTCCTCCAGAGGTGACCTCCCTCCAGGGCTGTTAGGAGATCAGCAGTACACAGGGAAGTCAGGCTGTGACCCGTGGAGCGTTGCAGGAGCAGATGACAGATGTGCCATGTTGATGCTCCCAGCATGTCCCAGCCTCCCACAGAGGCAGATTCGGGTCTGTGCTTCAGATCTGGCCCCGTGTGGTGTAGGGATGCTCATGGAGGTGCTAGAACATAGGCCTATGTGCTCAACCTCCACTGCACAGACCCAAAAAAGAACATCCCTCAGCCCTGAGGAGGACCAGACACCTCACAGGGATGTCCTCTGTAGCCCAAAGACCAGGGTTGGCCACGCAGGCTGGCAGGGGAGCTGGCACTGGCACCCAAGTGCAGTGGAACCCCCAAATCCAGAGAACCCCAGCCCCAGAAGAAGGCTTTAGGTTTACTCCAGAGAAGGAGATGAACTGTTAGGGGCCTGGGGGTGACTGCAGCTGGCAACACCTCCCAAGATTCGACTTCCTTTCCCCCTGCCCATGCTGAAAAGCCTCCTGCCCCTGTGCCCCAGCCCAGCTGGTGCTCCTCAAGCACACCCCAGCCCCACAGCCCCCAGCGCCAGCCAATCCTAATCTTGGCTTTGTTTCTTTGTCTCTTTCTTCCTCCCTCCCCCTCTCTCCCCCCAAACCTCTCTCTTTCCAGGAAGTCTGCAGTGAGTTATGGTGTCTGAGTAAAAGCAACCGCTGCATAACCAACAGCATCCCTGCTGCTGAGGGGACCATATGCCAAACCAACACCATTGAAAAGGGGGTAAGGAAGCCTGGGGCACCACAGCGAGTCGACAGTGAGTGGTTGAATCCTTCTTCCAGGGGTAACCAGGATTATTGTTTGCCTTGGTGAGCGTGGAGTTGATTTAAGAGCACCCACCAGCCCGTCCTCCCAGAGCCCGGAGCCACCCCCACCCTCCCCACCAGCACAGAGTGAGGGTGGGATGTGCCACGGAGCCCATCACGACCCCAAAGCACCCATCAATGGAGTCCCTGCTCCAGGGAGCCTCTTGGTCTGGCCCACAGGGCACAGTAAGATGACCTCAAGCAATGTTTAGATGAACATCTTGTTCTCAGGTCTGCTGAGGTCTCCTGGCTGTCCAGCGTTTTTTGCCCCCGCTTCCCCAGGAGGTGTGATGGGTTTGCAACAACCCTTCAGAGGAACTTCTGGAAGTTGGCCTCACAAGGAGGCTGCTGAGATGAAGAAACCTTCATTTCTCAGACTAGCTGTGAGAGGAGGGTAGGGCTTTTCAGGACCATGTATTTTGACAGTGAATTTTGACTTGGTTGTTCATATCACTTCATCCCCTGCATCTCCTACACCCATCTGTGCCCGTGCAAAGTGAGTGTGTAGAACTGCTACAACAAAATCCTTCTGCAAACCCAGCAGTAATGGGACAATGGAGAATCAGAGCTGGGACATTCTCCACTACATGGCCATGGCTTTCCACTAGAGGAAAAATAATTCCCAAGAAATTCAAGACTAGTTTCAGATCTTGGAGAAGCTGATGTGCAGGGAAGAGGATGGGTTTGGCCACTGCATTTTTTGTTGTAAACAGTCATCTGAGTTCTGCTGGGAGTTAGATCAAACAGTAGATGGGCTCCTGGGGCTGGAGGTCCCTGCTGCTGGAGATCCACCTTGTTCAACGGCAGCTTTTTGTCACTAGTCATCTGATTTTCACCAAAGAGCAGAGGGAAGGATCAGGGCATAGAAACTATTTGAGGTATGGAAGAGTTCAGCATCAGGGTCAGTGTCTTGCAGGCTCCTCCATGACTGTTTTGGGTTTCTTTTCTCTTTTTTTTTTTAATTTCAATTAATCAAATACTTGTTACACAGGTTATGGTCAGTGTGGCCTGTGAGGAAGCCTTCTGTTATGCAGCCCCCACTCCCTACAGGCCCCCAACTCATATCTGCTCCCTCAGCCCACCCATATCCTTGCTTGCCACAGGACAGCAAGCCAGGCTCTGCTCCTGGTGGCCAAGGGACGAGGACAGAGCCCATCACTGATGCTCTCAGGACTCCTGAGTGCATGGAGGGTCTGCAGGGGCTGCTCAGGCCCCGGGGTGCTGCCTGCAGAAGCAGCAGCCCCAGCAGTACCTGCAGTGTGGAGCAAGAGCAGGGACACCAGAAGGGCTGTGGCTGCAGAGCATCTCCTCTGCCCGGCACCACCCCTTTGAGGAGCAGCTCGCTGGCTGAGCACCCTGCGAGGCCAGGGTTCCTTTTTCCCTGCTGGTTGTGCTGCCCGTGGAGACCCTGGCTCGGAAGGAGCTGGGAGAGGCCGTGCCAGCAGCTCCGGGGTGGGTTGTCAGCCCCTGGAAGGAGCACAGAGCAGTTTCTTCCTTCCTGGGATTATCTCAGCCCCCGAGGCATGGTGTCGGGCACCGTGCCCAGCCAGCGGCAGCGGGGCTGGCACTGTCCTGCTCCTTGCATCACTCTTGACTCCAGGGAGTGCAGGACACTTGCCAGGTCCAAGGGAAATATTTCATAAGCAAGTTTCCCTCAGCATCTGTCCCCCAACAGGACAGGAACAGGTTTTTTTTTTTAAGGATCCTCAGCAGGACGATGACACAACAATGTTGTTATTACAATCTGAACTTTATTTTTGTAGAATCAGAGAATCCTTTTGGTTGGAAAAGACCTTTAAGATCATCAGGTCCAACCAAAACCACATCCCTCAGCACCACATCTACACATCTGAATCCCTCCAGGGGTGGGGACTCCACCACTGCCCTGGGCAGCCTGGCACAGCCCTGGACAACCTCAACCTCCCCAGGGGATATCCAACCTCAACCTCCCCTGGGGCAACTTGAGGCCGTTGCCTCTTGTCCTATCACTTGTTCCTTGGGAGAAGATTTAAACCTCAACCCTTTGCAGGTTGGATCATTTTAACAGATTAACCCAAGCTTGAGTTCTCAGTACACCCATAAAACTCACCCCACACTGGGAGAGAGCAGCTGGCAGTGGAGAGGTTGGTGCTCCCCAGGGACCCTGCCCAGCAGCAGCAGATCCAGCCCCAGTCCCACCAGAGACTCTGCCACGCTTGTGTAGGCAGTGAGTGTGAGCTCCTACGTGTCCCACTGGTGGACTGAGTCCACCCTGGTGGACTCAGGTGCCCAGGACCCCTTCTTTAGAAAAGAAGTGAGGGTGTGACCCACTTGCCCGTGGCTGCCTGCCCCACAGGGTGTTGCACTGAGGGTTGGGAGTGGGGGCAACCATCCCAGCATCCCTGCAAACCCCAAGTATGGAGTGTGCACCAACGGTGACAGTGTGACTTGGAGAACAGGGCTCCTGGGCAGAGGCCCATGCCCTCTGCAGTGGAGAACCTGCCTCCAAGGCCAGCACAGCTCCAGGGTGTCACAGGACCCCAGCAGATCCCAGCCCTGCCGGGGAGCGCTCTGGGCGGAGCAGACCCGGCGCTCGGGGGGGGCTGAGATCTCGGTGTCTCCACAGTGGTGCTACAAGAGGGAGTGTGTCCCCTTCGGGACGAGGCCGGAGGGCGTGGACGGGGCCTGGGGAGCCTGGTCAGCCTGGGGGGAGTGCAGCCGGACCTGCGGCGGAGGCGTCTCCTCGTCCCTGCGCCACTGCGACAGCCCGCGGTAGGTGTGCGCCCGGGGCCAGGTCTCCTCCTGGCCCTGTGGTCTCCTCCTGGCCCTGTGGTCTCCTCCTGGCCCTGTGGTCTCCTCCTGGCCCTGTGGTCTCCTCCTGGCCCTGTGGTCTCCTCCTGGCCCTGTGGTCTCCTCCTGGCCCTGTGGTCTCCTCCTGGCCCTGTGGTCTCCTCCTGGCCCTGTGGTCTCCTCCTGGCCCTGTGGTCTCCTCCTGGCCCTGTGGTCTCCTCCTGGCCCTGTGGTCTCCTCCTGGCCCTGTGGTCTCCTCCTGGCCCTGTGGTCTCCTCCTGGCCCTGTGGTCTCCTCCTGGCCCTGTGGTCTCCTCCTGGCCCTGTGGTCTCCTCCTGGCCCTGTGGTCTCCTCCTGGCCCTGTGGTCTCCTCCTGGCCCTGTGGTCTCCTCCTGGCCCTGTGGTCTCCTCCTCAGGTCCAACCTCAACCTCCTCTCAATGGATCAATGAGGAAGGCAGGAGCCAGCTCCCTGCACAGCTCTGTGCTCAGTTCCCAGGAGGGTCTTGGCTCCTGCACACAAATCCCATGTCCTGCTTTTAGAGCAGCTCAGTGCTTCGGTGTTGGGTCGGCAACCACAGACCCAAAGCCACTTGTACAGCTCCACGTGTGAGTGTGAGAGATCTGCTGGGGCACTGCACGTCTGCAATAGTCTCTCCAGGCAGGATCTGTCCCTGCAGCAGGGCAGATCCTGCCCCTCTGCC